TGCTGCTTATATGCGAGCGTATCCTCATATACTCGCGCTGTGATTGAGTCAGTTGGCAGTTGTGCAGTTGGCAGAGATGGACGAATGACCCTGATATTTTCACTGTGGTATGCTAGGGCCAAGGTAGTGAGGCTAGCAGCTCAGCGCTATATTGGATTTTAATGTCACCTGTAGTTTAAATACAGACATTTCAGGCTTGTAACAGGCACACATAAGACTTTTACTTTCTAAATACAGTAGAAAGCAGCATTACAGCAGCTCCATCTGTAGAGGCTTGGTCTTTTATTAATGTAGTTTGTCTTTTATTATTGTAGCGTTAGCCTGTTAGACACCCATATGGAAAAAAACAGTATATTCCAAATGTATTAATCATATATATTTTTGCAATATATGAAAATGGCCAACATTTTTGTTAAATATATTTTTATTATTATTTTTTTTTATTATATATTTTTCAACAAAGCTTACAGATATAACTGAATATTCATGAGCTGAATGAACGGTACTGACTTCTGTGATCTACACTGTACTTTACATTAACCGTGTACGTCTGCAGTCAGACTCTCACACACAATGTATTTCACATAAACAAGATATCAGATCATAACTGCATTTTCACAGAGTATCAATACCCACAACACTCGCTTCTGTCCTGTTAAAGGATCATTTGATCAGATTTAAAATGAAGAGACTGGAACACAAATTCATTTCTAAAGGTATCAGACAGTGAAGAGCATCAGACAGGATTCTGGATATTTTCATACATTTTCAAATGGATTTGATAAACAAATTCACATACATTTATGTTTGTCTATGTGTAATATTTCCCCATACATTTTAAAATAAATGCATTTTACTATATGGTTACTATGGCAATATAGTCTGAAATACATTTTAGTGTTTGGAATGTGTTTCAGCATGGACTGCAGTGTATTTGACATGTATAATATAAAAATATATGTCCTTTTTTTTGGAAAACAATAGAATTTAATTAATAAATAATAAATAATACTGTTTTTTTTTTTTGCACCTCTGATTTAGTCTAAGCCTCAAAAAATCCCAGTCTTGAATCAAAATCTCACCATTAAGATTTAACTAAATGAGCAACCTTATCTGGAGCCCACGTCAGCTTTAATTCAATTAAATTCTGATCAGCTTTCTGGAGTTTAACCTTTAGGAGAGGAAAGTGGAGGAATCCTCCATGTCAGTCCTGCATGCTGCTACCGCTAATCCAGCCTATGTGTTATTTAATGTGCTGAGGCGTTTATTAGCGAGAATGGCAGGAGATTAGAGAGAGCAAGAAAGAGCGAGCGAGCATGTGTCAGTGCTGCATTTTGCTACAGTAATCTCATCTGCTGTTCTCTGCTTAGAGATGGGATTGAGTGGCAGCGCTCAGCTAAATCTTCTCCTTCACTGTCTGCTATTCAATACAGTCAAGTTCGGAGGGCTGCTAATAGACTGGAGGGTGTGTATAGTGATGTACTGGCAGAAAATTCTGTTCTGTGTGTTACAAGAACCAGAAAAGGGCTGTTTATATGTATTAATATAGAATTGTAGGAGTTCTAGTGTACAGTGTCAAATATTAAGTTATTTATGTGTTTTTTATAGATATACACTGATCAGGCACAAAATTATGACCACCTCCTTGTTTCTACGCTCATTGTCCATTTTATCAGCTCCACTTACTATATAGGTGCACTTTGTAGTTCTACAGTTACAGACTGTAGTCCATCTGTTTCTCTGATACTTTGTTAGCCCCCTTTTACCCTGTTCTTCAGTGGTCAGGACCCCCATGGACCCTCACAGAGCAGGTACTATTTGGATGGTGGATCATTCTCAGCACTGCAGTAACTCTGACGTGGTGGTGGTGTGTTAGTGTGTGTTGTGCTGGTCTGAGTGGATCAGACACAGCAGTGCTGCTAGAGTTTTTAAACACTGTGTCCACTCACTGTCCACTCTATTAGAAACTCCTACCTTGTCAGTCCACCTTGTAGATGTAAAGTCAGAGACGATAGCTCATCTGCTGCTGCACAGTTTGTGTTGGTCATCCTCTAGTCCTTCATCAGTGGTCACAGGACGCTGCCCACAGGACGCTGTTGGCTGGATATTTTTGGTTGGTGGACTATTCTCAGTCCAGCAGTGACACTGAGGTGTTTAAAACCTCCAGCAGTACTGCTGTGTCTGATCCACAACACACACTAACACACCACCACCACGTTAGTGTTACTGCAGTGCTGAGAATGATCCACCACACAGAGAACTTTGTAGAACTACAAAGTGCACCTATATAGTAAGTGGAGCTGATAAAATGGACAATGAGTGTAGAAACAGGGAGGTGATCATAATGTTATGCCTGTTTGGTGTAAATGGACATTGTGTCGTGCTGCATTGTGAGATCGTTCCACCATATTGGCAGGGTTGATTCTTTGTTTACATGCTACAAAACCTCATGCACTGAGAGAAGATTGCTGTTTTATTCCATTTTTTCTGATTTGTCATGTTTAAAAGTGAATTCAGTTACTGGCATATATAACTCAGTTACTGGCATATATAACTCAGTCACTGGCATATATAACTCAGTTACTGGCATATATAACTCAGTCACTGGCATATATAACTCAGTTACTGGCATATATAACTCAGTTACTGGCATATATAACTCAGTTATTGGCATATATAACTCAGTCACTGGCATATATAACTCAGTTACTGGCATATATAACTCAGTCACTGGCATATATAACTCAGTTACTGGCATATATAACTCAGTCACTGGCATGTATAACTCAGTTACTGGCATATATAACTCAGTTACTGGCATATATAACTCAGTCACTGGCATATATAACTCAGTTACTGGCATATATAACTCAGTCACTGGCATATATAACTCAGTTACTGGCATATATAACTCAGTCACTGGCATGTATAACTCAGTTACTGGCATATATAACTCAGTTACTGGCATATATAACTCAGTTATTGGCATATATAACTCAGTTACTGGCATATATAACTCAGTCACTGGCATATATAACTCAGTCACTGGCATATATAACTCAGTTACTGGCATATATAACTCAATTGCTGGCATATATAACTCAGTTGCTGGCATATATAACTCAGTTACTGGCATATATAACTCAGTCACTGGCATATATAACTCAGTTGCTGGCATATATAACTCAGTTACTGGCATATATAACTCAGTCACTAGCATATATAACTCAGTTGCTGGCATACCTAACTCAGTTACTGGCATATATAACTCAGTTACTGGCATATATAACTCAGTCACTGGCATATATAACTCAGTTACTGGTATACCTAATTTAGTTACTGGCATATATAACTCAGTTACTGGCATATATAACTCAGTTACTGGCATACCTAATTTAGTTACTGGCATATATAACTCAGTCACTGGCATATATAACTCAGTTACTGGCATACCTAATTTAGTTACTGGCATATATAACTCAGTTACTGGCATATATAACTCAGTTACTGGCATATATAACTCAGTTACTGGCATATATGACTCAGTCACTGGCATATATAACTCAGTCACTGGCATACCTAACTCAGAAACTGGCATATATAACTCAGTCACTGGCATATATAACTCAGTCACTGGCATACCTAACTCAGAAACTGGCATATATAACTCAGTCACTGGCATATATAACTCAGTCACTGGCATATATAACTCAGTCACTGGCATACCTAACTCAGTTACTGGCATATATGACTTAGTCACTGGCATATATAACTCAGTCACTGGCATACCTAACTCAGTCACTGGCATATATAACTCAGTCACTGGCATATATAACTCAGTCACTGGCATACCTAACTCAGTCACTGGCATATATAACTCAGTCACTGGCATATATAACTCAGTCACTGGCATACCTAACTCAGTCACTGGCATATATAACTCAGTCACTGGCATATTTCATTGAATTATTGGCATATTTCACTTGGAACAGCAAAGTAACGACACTGTTACTGTACTGTACTTTATTAAACCCCTAAACTCTTGAAGAGAAACAGACAAATGCTAATCATCTGACACTTCTGGTCTTACAGTAACTCACGTTAGTCACAGCATAACTTACTTAATCTCATACCGTTTAGTTTGTGAAGAATCTGTTAACTGATTCCAGACGTGATAAACCCACAAAACTATGTTGAATGTTTTATTCCATTAAAAGGGTTGATTCTTTGTTTACATGCTACAAAACCTCATGCACTGAGAGAAGATTGCTGTTTTATTCCATTTTTTCTGACTTGTCATGCTTAAAAGTGAATTCAGTTACTGGAATATATAACTCAGTTACTGGCATATATAACTCGCGGTTTGGTGTGAAAAGGTTCGGATTTCTTTACAGTGGTGGTGATAGGAACCAGGGGTCGCCATGACTACAACACAGATATAGACATTTTATTTACTATCCAGAACCACCAGTGAACCTACACGAGTCTTCTGAGTTTATATGGAATGATGATGATGGAAAATAGTGGAAAATCTGAAATAATAAGTTTTCTTTGGGGACTATTTTGCCTCACAGCGCCCTGCATGTATCCCTCCACTATGAACACATTGTAAACCATATGTTTTAAACCAGAACCTTCTCAGGACTATCATAAAACAACGTCTCAGACATCAGGCGCAGTACACAGTAATGATTTCATGTAGTAACTTTCTGTGAGGGAGCTTTTAGAGGTGGACGTCTGGTTCCTATCACCACCACTGTGAACAATTCTGACTCTGTAAGTTTCTCTAGAGCAGAGCGTTTCACACCAAACCACTCTGAATGACACATTTATGATTGAATTATACAGAATATTTAAAAATCTGGGGATTTACCCTGTAAGTTATGAGGCTAACTAAGAAATCCTGCTTCAAGAATTGTCACTGTTTTCATTAACAGGTATGGATGTCGTTCTCAGTTCTAGGCTTCACTCTCATCTTCCCTCATTCATTCCTCCTGCAGGCTCCAACTACTCCAGCCCGTCTCTGGCTCCGGTGGCCAGTCTGAATGAGCAGGAGCATGGCGGAGGTGGTGGAGGTGGTGGTGGCGGAGGTGGTGGAGGTGGAGGTGGTGTAGTAGGCTTGGCGCCGGAGCACATCCCCACGCCGGGCGCCGCTCTCAGCTGGCAGGCGGCCATCGACGCGGCTCGACAAGCCAAGCTGATGGGCAACGCCGGGGCCCCCATCTCCACGGCCAGCTCCACCCAGCGCAAGCGGCAGCACTACAGCAAGCCCAAGAAGCAGGCCACGACGGCGGCCACGCGGCCCCCGCGAGCCCTGCTCTGCCTCACCCTCAAAAACCCCATCCGCAGAGCCTGCATCAGTATTGTGGAGTGGAAGTATCCTTTTGGTCATGGCCTGGGAGAAGGAGGCGGGGGGGCATGAGGTCATAGAATGCTGTCTCTATTGATCGTATTAATAACTGAGCACGAAGCACAGTTTATTTTTATGTAGGGATCTTCATTATATGTGTATCACTGATTTTTGGTTGATATCATAGGTCATCAGTCTTATCCGTAAAGGGCCAGTGTTGCTCTGCTTAGAATGAAAACCTGCAGCCACACAGGCTTTTTTGGTAAAGGTTATTTATTCAAAGCTACAGAACATTGAATGTGTTTACATGCACTTGATAATCTGATCATATTCAGATTTCTGCAGTTATCTGATTTTTCAAATGGTCGTGTAAACAGCACACTGATTTCTTGGATCAAAGTATGGTCTAGAAATCTGTTTAAGGCTGGATTTTAGCTCAGTAATCAGATTTCTCAGTGCATGTGAACTCTTACTCTGATTTCTTTCGGATTTATCAGTCTGCGCGTGTGCAAAAACAGATGGTGGTACCGGAAATAAGCGAGCAGCGTCGCCGCGAGAGGCAGCAAACCACTGTTGGAGCGACGCTGAAACCAAATACATGCTTGACGAAATGAAGGATTTAAAAATTCTTCATCTTCTAGATGATGTATGTTTATATTTTCAGGTTAAGTGTGTTTTTTAAAAAAGTGTCATGAAGTTTGAGGTTTACGTTACGTTTACTTCAAGTCTTCTTCTGGCCTTCTTCTGGTCTACTGGCTGGTTGTAAAGCAGAAATCTGATTACTGTCTGATTCACATAGACCCGGAGTTTCTCCATTATCTGATTACTCAAGTGCATGTAAACGCGTTGATCGGATTACTGACAAAATCTGATTTTCTGCAGTTATCGGATTATTAAGTGCATGTAAACACACTCACTGTTTGCACAGTATGTGTTGACCGTCGTCGTGTTTAAAGGAGTGAATACATGCCTAAAATTAACTGGATCCTATTAACTACCATTTTTTAAAAGGAACCCTCACTGTTGAGACATGTAGGCCTCAACGTGGTATACATGTCTAATATTATTCAAATATGTTGAATAAACCAGGCAAAATATTTGACTTATTTGTAAAAATGTGCAAATCCCTCTACTAGTAAGCTGCCATTTTTGTTGCAGTATAAAATAGTTGCTCTTTCTTTTTTGTCCACTGAGCGAAGAACAGTGAGCTAAATATCTGATTTAACTCAAATATGTCATTCAGCCTTTCCAGTTTTAGCTACAGCGTTACGTACTTACATACTTTGTGTTATGTACTTTTTTGATTGTCTTATTTACCGTAGGACTGAATTTAGTGCAGCTATATCACGTCATCGCAGTGACAATGGTGACCTACTGTGTTTTGTATAACAAGCACAAGCTTTCAATTAGATTTTTACATCATATTTTTAATAGTACAGGGAGATTCACTCGAAAGAGGCCCCGAATATTCTGTTGTAACTCTTGTTAGGATGAAGCAATCTGAACCAAAAAAATACGCTACACACCTTGTTCGAAGCTCCATATACTGGGGAGCGCATTGCACGTTGTTTCGTTCGGATTGCTTCGTCCTAGAGAGAGTTATTACGGAATATTGGGGGCCTCTTTCGAGTGAATCTCCCTGTATTAGACGTGTTTTAAGGCATAGAAGTCTTAATAGTCAGGTGTGATTTTAACAGGATTATTTGTGCAGTTGCATTTTAATGATTAATTGAATATTAAAAAAATACCTTTTTAGTTTTTTTAAAAGCCAAACAATAAAAATGGACTATAAAACTAAATAATAGCAAACGATAAGTCATGTTTCAAAGAGTTCAAATACTTCATTAAAAAAAACGAATAAACTAGAAAGGCTTTAAAAGGACTCGCTATGTAGAGATTAAAAACTCCACGTAGCAAAAAATCAGCGAAAGCGTCTCCAGTGATGGAGACTGAGCGAGTGAGTGAGTGAGAGAGTGAGTGATTGATAATAAATTTCCTGAGAAGTAGCTGTTTGAGATGTAAACACACAAACTGTGCAGTGGTGATCAGTGAGCTGATTGATTAAGTGATTGATTGAGTGTGGAAGGAGAGCACAGGCTTCTTTTAGACTCCCGATAGAGACCTACAGCCACAGCAAACAGCTTTCAGAGCCGCCAATCAAGAGAGTGTACTTACAAAAATATGTTATCATGTGATTACTTGTAAGCATGTGTCTGTTACATGCTTCACGTGTGAAATATACAATAGTTAGTTCCGGCCGTGTGAGCTGATTGGTTGAGAAGTGTTCTAACTGTGCTGTTATTTCACCATAACATCACGTTTTTTTCACAAACACTGTATCACTCTACTGAGACGCCGTTGCTAAGCAACGACTTTGACAGCTGTAGGAGACGCTCAAGACAATTGAACGTTTTTACTTCTTACTTTGCCACAAACAGAAAACTGGACACTTTTAAGATCACATTTGACCGACAGCCGATTTGGTCAGACTCTGAAGATGAGATGACACTGAATTCTCAAACTGTCATCACCACTGAGCAGCTTTTCAGTCGGCAGCTGTGACAGAAGAACAGCTGAACAACCTGGAATCAGCCAGAAATGAACCCAACACCATTCGCCAAACTAAATGGGCTGTAAGATGCTTTACAGACTGGCTGGAACAAAACAACATTAATACTGATCTGGCAAAAACTGACAAAACTGAGCTGAACTTGATATTGCGGCAGTTTTATGGCTCAGTCTGATTTGGTCAGACTCTGAAGATCAGACTACACGTTTGGCGAATGGTATTAGGTTCATTTCTGGCTGATTCCAGATTGTTTAGCTGTTCTTCTGTCACAGCTGCCGACTGAAAAGCTGCTCAGTGGTGATGACAGTTTGAGAGTTTAGTGTGAGGAGCTGGAGAACGAACTGCCGGCTGTGCAGCGAGTGGGCGGAGCTTGTTACTCTGACATAGCAACAAGCTGCTCGTTAAGGAACTATAATTTGGTGAAGGAACTGCGAACATTAAAACATATTAAACGCCGCGTTCACAGCCCAGTTTATTAATTTATTACTTTATTTATTTATCAAGTCGTTTGCGCTTGGTAAGGCATCATTTCTTGCAGTGCAGGGCCACTTCATATACACGCTGATGCCTGAGCCCATCAGAACACTCAGTGCTCCACATGAACAACATGTTGTTGTTAGAAGGTTCAGGAATGTAAAATCAGTGCATTCGTATTAAAAACCCTCATTAGCATTATCAGACCTTTATCACCAACATTATTGGTTATTTTATTCAGAATAACAGTTGGTCCTCTGCCATGTCAGCTGTGAATTGCCGCTGATTCGAACTCGTTTAAAAGGAAATCATGAGATAATTTAGAGCTGCAGTGTAATTTGCTGCAGTGGCCTTAAAATACACAGTGTGTACATCAGAGTGTGCAGTGGGATTATTTGTTTACAGTGTGTGTGTGTGTGTGTGTGTGTGTGTGTGTGTGTGTGTGTGTGTGTGTGTGTGTGTGTGTGAGCTAAAAAAGCTGCGATTTCTTAAGAGAGAAATAAAAACAAACTGATGATCTGTGAGTCACAGAAACACTGACATCTCAAATTAACCACCAATATATACACTCACAACACTCTCTCTCTCTTTCTTTCTCTCTCTCTTCCCCCTCTCTCTCGCTGCTCTCACTTTCTCTTTCTCACTCTCTCTTTTTCTCGCTCTCTCTTTCTTTCTCTCTCTTTCTTGCTTTCTTTCTCTCTTTCTTTCTCTTTTCTCTCCCCATACTCTCTCTTGTTTCACTTTTCCCCTCCCTTCTTTTTTTTTCTCATTATCTCTTTTTTCTTTCTTTCTTTCTTTCTTTTTCTTTCTTTCTTTCTTTCTTTCTTTCTTTCTTTCTTTTTCAGTCTCCTCTCTCTCTCTCTCTCTCTCTCTCTCTCTCGCTCTCTCTCTTACCGTCACACCCTGATTTTAAATTATGTGAAATGTAATAAACTGTATAATAAAATATAACTAAATAATCTTCTCACTACATTATGATGTAATGGCTGCAATTTTGCTCAAGCAACCAAAAAAAAAAAGAAAAGAAAAAAGAAAAGTCAGTTCGTTTTCTCTGCAGCATCTCCACGGAGACCACATCCCTCTCTCTCTGTTCTACAGCTCTTACTGACTCGCCCTTCCTCTCTGAACAAGCAGAGCACATTTAAATCCTTTATTTTAGTCCAGTTTAAAACGATAATAGAATAATCTAACCTGGTCAAACGGTTTAGTCGTCCAGACATACATGAATCAGTGACTGTGTCAGCAAGGAGACATGTCTCGCCTGAATGATTGACTGACCGTACAAGTGGCTGATTATTTAAAAACAGCTTTAATTAGAATGCAAGAATCAAAACAACAAACTGCTTTTATCAGATTAACTATAATTTACCATTTAATCATATCAAACGACATCATTTGAACTAATTCACTTCAATGAACACAAAATGGAACAAATAAAGCAGAAGATGTGATATTGTCTGAGGGAATAATGATGCTTATTTTGGGTAATGAGTTAGCTTTATTAGCCATTTAGCTAATCAGCTAATTTTACTATAATGGCTGCACTGCAAAAAATAGTATCTTCTCAAGTAAAATTATCTTAAATATAGTCAATAAATCTAATATTTCTCCTGTTGAGATTGTTATAAGCTTATAATTAGATTATTTACCTTATTTCTAGACGTTTTTGGTTGCGTTAAGTAATTATATTTAGCAAAATGATGTTTTTATTTTTAGTAAAATAAGTAAATAATGTCTAGAAATGAGGAAAGCAATCTTATAAGTGCACAATCATCTCAAAATGGGAAATATTAGATACATCGACTAGATTTAAGGTCATTTCACTTAACAAGATACCATTTTTTTGCAGTGCATTTGCATTTTTGTATCATTTTTATATCTAGAGAGGAGACAATTAATAACCTAAAAATGAGCTACATACAGACCCAGTTTTGAAATATCTGGTGCAGTATATGAAATGCAAATAAAACCGTGAAAAGCAGT